ATTTTATTTTTTTTAACTTTTGTTTTAATTCAAATTTTGAATGTAATTATAATAAAAACTAAATTCAAAAAATTAGAAAAAATAAAAATTTATTGTTCAAGCAAAAATTATTAGATTTGAATAAAATAAAAAAATATTCAAGGAAAGAAATTAAAAATAAAAAAACTTTAAATAAATAAAAAAATTCTTAAAAAAACAACATAATGTAAAGCAAAATGTAGAAACATAACATTATATTCGCATGATAAAAAATAAATAAATAATACAAAATAAAACGTTAAATTAATTAATAAAATTAAATTAATAAAAATWAAATTAAAAAAGTGTAAAATAAATATTTGCTAAACATATATTATATACATGAGTGAAAATTTTTCTAAAAATATTCATAAAAACATTTTTTTTTTCAAATGAAAACTGTAGATAATGAAATATTTTTTTCATAGAAATACTAAAAATAATAATTTCATTGCAGTTAATAACCGCCGTGTTGCTACCACCCGCTCAAGCTTTCTGGTGGGCGTCACCGACTGCGGCCCCCACAACGTAAGTTATACACACACACACACACATAATATTTTAACACATTTTATTCTACTTTTTTATTTGTAAAATACAATTTGTTAAACATGCAGACTTTCTGATTGTTCCAGTGAATCGCCGCGCGTGCTTAAAGAGATACCGCTCACCTACTTCCGCAGCTACACTTACCAACCGATCGCCGGCAATCCTTTCGCCGCCTTCCCCTACTATCATCGCGCGGCGAGCGCTCTGCCGTCACCGCTGCTTGCGGGTCCTGCGCGTTACGAGCATGGCACCTACCTGCATGCCAGCGCATATCCAGTGAGCGTCGCAGTGCCGCATCCGCAGCAGCAGCAACAGTCAATGCTGCCGCAAATGTATCCGCTGCCACAGGCGGCTGTTTTGCACGCAAAGCCGTTGCCGAGTTCAACAACTACCACCAGTACTACCAGCACTGAGCCGCCTACGACCACCAGCACCACCACTACTACAAAAATGACGACTACAACACCGCCACCACCCTCAACGACGACCGCGAGCAGCAGCACCAGCACGACAAGCGCGTCCATCGCGCAGCTGAGTGAGTCGCAGCAACAGCCGCAAACTCAACCTCAACCGTACCCATACCCATACCCCACTTACAATCGTCGTGCCTATATGGGTTACAATCCGCACTCTTACCGCCCGGCCTATCCGTATCCGGACTATACCGTTTACAAGACCGCGCCAGCGACGCGCTACAATAGTCAGGGAGGGCAAATTCAGTTTGTGCCCTGCATGTGTCCGGTGAGTGTGGGCGCCTCGGGCCCCCTGCAGCACTCGGCTATGTCGGTAGAGGGACGCACCACCAGCGACGAGGAAGATGACTTAATGATGTTGGCGCGCGCTGATGAACTGAATTTGCCTGTGGAATTGAGTGTGGTCACTGAGAGAGCAGCACAGGAAACGACTGAATCGGTTAAGCCCCAAAGCGACACTGAAGTAACGGAGAATTTGGCGTCAAAAACGTCGGAGGCTGCAGTTGAGCAATTGAGTACGAATAAGGTGGACGAGCAGTCACATTATGTTGTGGAACTGGGGAGCACTAGAGAGCAAAATGGGGCGTAAAAATAAAAGATATAGAAATAAATACAATATGTTGCAAAGGAGCTTACTGTTAAAATTTTAATTATAATAAAAGCTAAAATCATAATAATGTCATAAAATTAYATTTTTAGTTAATAAAATAAAATAATATATAATAAAACAAAACATTCAATTCGGCTGCATCGAAAATATTTTTTTTTTATATATTCATCAAGGCATAGTTTTTATTGTTGTTGTACCAACATAAACAACATAAATTATATTTCATGTTTTTGTTGTTGTAAAATCAAGCCATTTGCCGGTAAAATTCCAATTTTCCCTCTTATAGTGTGCAACGTACTTTTCTCTCTAATATCATATACAAATGTATTAAACACACACATAAATATTTCCATATGTAAATATTGGTACCACTTTCAAATTTATGTCAAAATATCAAATGTAACGTAATTAAATTCAAATATAATAAAAATTTGTCTATTGTGAATGTGTCATTGCACTTTTAAGATCTCACCTTCACCTTGCACTTCCGCATTGCAAATCTGCTGAATCACCCTGTAATCTGCATTTTCAATTTGCATGACAGTTGTAATTAATTTTTTGCGCGTCATGCTTATTTTACAAATAGTGCATAATAAATTTACATGTTTTTGCAAAATAATTAAGGTTTTCGTGAAGTTGCTACAGTAAATAAGTGCGAATGTTAATAAGTGTGTGGTGAAGTGTAGATATAGTGTGCAGTTGAGCAGCCGCCGCTATTAATTTCTGCGTTGAAGCAGGGGTGGCTCGCAGCATCACCTGCACACTGTGAGCTCATAAAAAAAGCTAAATATTTATATTTAACTATTTCTTCTTTGTCTGCAAGCTAAGGAAAAATGAGCAATAATATGATACGACGCATAAACAAATGTAAAGAGGCTAGCCAAACCTTTATTAAAACTTAGCAATATGTTGGATCGGTTCTGCTTTGAAACTGTAAATGCAACCTGTTCGGAACAACCAAATTAAAGTGTAAAGCTATTCATTTAAGTTTAATTCGAAAGTGAATGAGGAATACCTTGTGTGAGCTGCGTACATGTTTGTGCATGCTTAATAAGTCGAATTAAAGCCTCGAGTGGTAGGCATCTGTCAAAAAAAAAGTAAAAATAAAAAATTGTTGTGAGTTTGAAGAAAATGTAAAACGCGGAAAGTGTTAGTGTGAATGTGTGTGTACAGTTGAGAGTTTTAAGTGGGAACAGGAAACGAAAGATAGAGTAGCTGCAAGGTGATCGTGTGCGCTGCAAGAATATACATCTATTTCACAGGTACGTACGTTTTTTATTACTTATCTCGCCTAATTTGTAAAACATGATTAACGATTTGTTTTACATTTTCTAATGATGCGCTTTACTGGTAATTATTTGTAACTTTGTGTAGAACAGGTTCTGTTGCTTTTTGCTGTCGTTTCATATCACTTCCCTGCATTTGATATTTTTTTTAGGGGAATCTCATTTCTGACAAATTACTGCGATAAAGATTTCTCTGTCACAACATGTTATTTTCTTTTGCCTTGTCATTTTTGACGGCTTCTAACGGTTTTGGTGTTTGTAGTAAGATAAGCATTGCATATGATTAACCTGAATGACGGATACACAAAATGCAGAAATAACAAAATGTTGAACTTTTTTAGTTATTTATAATTTTTTTTGCAATCACGTTTCACTGTTACGGATGTCTACATAATTTTTTAAAATTAAGTCATAAGCATTTTTTTAAACCCTATTTTGAGAGGGTCTTACATATTCTTAGATTTATTAGTTTATAATTTCGTTGGAACATCCAACACGCTGTTTTCGGTTTTTCAAACGTAACGTTTGCGTGCTTTATTTGCTATAATTGCTTTTGACTTGATATGAATGGCATGTTAAGGCTAAAGCTTCAAAGGCTCTATAGACAAAAGTCTTAAGGCTGTACTGTAAAAGCTCATAGTATCATCATAAGCAAATGCTGTTATAAACAGTGCTGTAATTTTGAGGTTTCTTCCTTGCTGCGCTCTTTCTCATTTTTAACTAAGCTCTCAGCTCGACTTTTCAACTTACAATACATTCATGCATACAATAGCAACAGTAGTGGTGTGTATGTACTCAGCATATGAAAAACCAAACACACTCTTACTGTTGTTGTTGGTTTGTTAACTACTTTACTTCACGGTTTTTGTATAAGTCCTTAATTGGAATGTGTTTATATTGCGCATGCGCCGAACTACAGAGAATACAGAATAAGTGCTTGCACTCGTCCTTTTTCTGGCGCAATCCTTTGAGTTATTCTACACTCGCGCGAGAGAGAACTAACTGTGGTATTGACACCTGTCAATAAGAATGCGTATTTTTTCTGAATTAAAGAGCGTAAACTCGATTTGAAGACGTTTAATTGTAAATCTAAATGTTCATCCAGCCGAATCAGTATTTGTGTTTGTATTACTTTCACATAATAATAGAGCATTCAGTGATATCCTTAAAAAACGTTAACAAATAAAAAAAGTTGACTTTACAAAATATGTTGTCAAGCATTTTTGAAAAACTATTTCATTCGAAATTAAAAAAAAATTATATTTTCGCTTACATTTTTTCCTAAAACCACCAGCCTTTTGTGTTCTTTTCGACGTTTTGTAATTTATTAAATCTTTTAAGTTCAGTTCAGTTATTTTCGAAAAACGTTTCTTTTCCCTTTTAGCAAAAGGGCAAATTATAATTTTCGCTTCGCTTTTTCCAAAAAACTCCGTCATTTTGTATTCGTTCTGATTTTCAGTTCAGTTCAGTTCTCTTCGAAAAATTATTTTACTCTGTTGGTCAAAAAAGTAAAAAAAAAAATATTTTCACTTCGAAGTTTTTCAAAGGAACTCGGCTATTTTGAAATCTTTTAGCCTTATTGAAACATACTTCAGTTGAAAATTTCAAGACATTCTGTTGCATTTTGCTAAAAATCAACTCTGTTCTATTGCACGAATTCGATATTATTATTGAATTTTGCCAATACGTTCCACATGTTTCAATAACAATACTAACGGTATCGGAGAGCAGCGGCTGCGCACAAGGCGGCTCACTGTCACTGACAGCCTTAAAGGTGATTGCTAAGTGCAAAATTTTTCCATACACCAGACTGTCGTCGTCGACATTTGTAAGCGTTTCAATCAAACGAACCGAAGCGTAGCTAACGAACGGGCGAACAACCGAATGAGTTGATTGCAAAGTAAGCAAAGAAATTTTATTCCTCTTTTTTGCACTTCCCAAGCAAGTGATTTGTCAATGACCAAGTGTTGAAATGTAAAAAAGTGTCGAGACCAAAGTGAACTAAGACGAGACATCTGAAATTAATGAAGGCATGTTTTGTGTAAACTAGATTTTGTGGCGACCTAGAGAAATACAAAACTTCTGATGGTTTTGCATAAGAGTGGATTTTGGAGATACTTGCATAGTGCTGAAGGTGACGAATTCGGAACTCGAGGCTTTTTAGGGCATATATACGCCGCCTAAAGGTGCGCCCATAAATCGGCTGTGTAAAAGCCATCGAATTTCTTAAAGCCGTTTACAAATATTTGAAGAATTTGGGTGTCTGTCTGTTCACCCACCGTCAGCAACGCAGAAGTGTGCATTTCTGCGCTGGTGGTGTTTCGTTGTCACACACATTTTTCACGCTTAGGGGTGTGACTGACAGTTTCGATTTTTTTCTCGTTTCCTTTTGCCAACGCACCGCTGCTGTGCGTAACAAGCCGAGCACCAACAAAACAGAAACAAAATACAGCAAAATAAAAGTAAAACGCCGATTGCAACTAAAAAGTGTAGACCAGATATAGTGTGGAAAAAAGTAACAAAAAAGTGTTAGCAAAATAAAAAAAAAACACCAAAAAATTGTGAAAAAGTCGGCGATGTTTGAGCGCGTGTGTTGTGTCCACCAAAACGCAACGATTTGCAGCCGAAAAAGCAGCGAACACAGCTAATTGCGTTGTGTCTGCGCCAGAGACGTTAGTTGTATACTCGAATGATGTTGCATACTTTTTAGCGCATGGTGAATTGTACCCAAGCAAAGCGTATTGACAAATTTTGACAATATTTGTATAAAACAACTATAGAACATTAAAAAAATAAATATATAAAATTAGAGTTTACGCTGGAAGTTGTGAAATTCTTCAGTCGTGCAAATACACAATAAACAATAACATTTTGCTCACTGAGCTGTTATATGACAAAAAGCTATATTTCAGCTAGAAAACTTCACAAACGTCTATATAATTGAAAGAAATTAAAATTTTTTATAATTACATATAAAAATATAACTTTTTGTTAATATTTTTCTAGTTTTCTTACTTTTTTTTTGATTTATTTGGTTTAAATGAGATATTAGTTTTTTAAAAATAATTTTAGTAGATAAAATCATTTTGGATAAAAACGTATTATTTACAAAATTAAGTTGTCTCATATATCGTGCTGAGTTTTTTTAGATTGGATTCAATAATAAGTAATGTATAAGCCTTTTTAAATGAAAAGTAAATGATTTGTAATTTATTAAATAATTTTTTGGACTTTAAAAATTAATTGACTTTTAAAAAATTTTAAATTTGTTTTTAAATTATTTGCTATTTATTTTTTAAATTAATTTTTAATTTATTATTAAATGTTTAATTCATTAATTTTTATTTTATTAAGATATATTTAATTTTTTAAAAATAAATAAATTTTTTAAATAATTTTTAAATTTTTGTTATTTTTTTTTAATTTAGTCTTAATTTTTTATTAATTAATTTTATTTTATTGATTATTTATTAATTACTAATTAATTTTTATTTGTTAATTAATTAACTATTAAGTTTTCAATGATTTTTTGTATATCTCTTTTGAATCCAAAGTACCCGATTTTTGTCTTATATTTTTTTTTAGTTTAAAGGAACGTGGTTTTTGATACGAAAAAAAAAATTTTTTTTTTATTTTTAAACCCTATCTAGCCGTCAAATATTTTTTAAATAATGTTTTTTTATAATTTTTTTCACATAATTTAAAAAAAATGCATGTATTCTGCAAATTTGAATTTTTTAGTATTCCCTTTAAATAAGGTTCCTTATTTTATTTTTCAAAATTATTTATTTATATGGTTCCTTATTTTATTTTTTCAAAATTATTTATTTATATGCTATAATATGTTTTGATGTTTTAGCCTTCAAAGTTTTGAGAAAATGGTTTTAAAATAAAAAAAATTGCTGTACTTTATGTTTTATTATTTTTTGTAACTTTGGGAAAAATAATAATTAATAACAATTTCAAGTTGAATAATTTATTTTTATATTATTATTTAATCAAAGTTCACTTTCAAAGTATAACCGTTTCAATTTAAGATTTGAAGATTTTGAAAACTTAATCATATATTAAATACAAAATTGGTAAATTCACTTCATATATTTTTTCTAAGTATTTTTGTTGTTTTTCATTGATTTGCAAATTCATCGAATTTTTAATTGTTTTCCTAAAAAACATAAAAATCTTCAACTTCTCAAACGCAGTGACAATCAACTAAACATTCGTAGAAAACAAAAGCAAGAATTAATAAAAAAATAACAGTACATTGTGACTCCTCCAGTGTGTGTGGTGAAAAATCGTGCAAAAAAGAAAATTTGTGAATAAACCAACAATAATAATAACAACAAGCAAGCATCGTACAGAAATGTTAGACTCAAGTAAAGTCAGTCTTGGCATGTTGGCCTTAACTGTCATCTGTGTGACAAATTGCCCAAATGTACAGGTGAGTGAGTCATGATTATTATATGTATGCACACATTACTACTGTATACACACGCGCATAACGGCATAAGTATAGCTGTTTATTCATATATAAGTATACGCGATACACACACCCACACAAGCACACATGCACAAACTGGCACTGGTGCGGATTCCAAAGTGACTGCGGCGAGTGCTCCCTTTGCTACTCGAGCTCGCGCTACCAACACTTTGCCTTTGTTGCTTTCCTTCCATTCACCTTTACCACGTCATCGCGCTCGTACCCGCCGACCAACTCGTTCGCCACTTCGTCGTTTGCGCTGTCGTGTTGTCGTTGGTTTTTACCATTTGCAACGCTTCGTCGTTTTTATGACCTTTTTTCCAACGGCACTGTCGCTCGACTCGGTCGCTTCTTCTGCTTCACTTGCTGCGTTGTTGCTGTTGTCGCTAGTTTACTTGGTTTCTTATGTGTGCTTGTGCTGTTGTTGCTTTTAGCGTTGGTGCTGCAGCTTGGCTTACAACCACGGTCTTCTTGTGTCTTCTCGTTTTAATATATTTCTTGTTGGTTGTCTCTTGTTGTGGTCACTGAAATAATTATAATGTTCCGTTGCTCCGCACTCCATCAGCGCAGTTATTCGATTTTTGCTGTTGTTGCATGTTCTTTTTTATGTTTTTGTTTTTGTGCCAGTCCCGCTTTTGGGGTGACCACCGTTTTTTTTTTTTCGAAAACTCATCGCTACGCCGCGCTCATTCATTCGTTCGCATTACCGCGCTTGGTAGCTTGGTTAGGGGTTGCTGTTGCAGTAAATAAAAGGCAATAAAAGCGTATGAAATGAGTAAGCAACAACAACAGCAACGTTATTGCGCACAGGGATTGTCCGGTTTTATTGTCAAAATGTTGAAATGGTAAAATGGAAATGACATTTTCGCTCATTTGAGTTTGGCTTACAAATAGGCGGCCGTAACACTCGTAAATGTCAAAAAGCCATCGAGTTGCGAAAAAATGGTAATAAAATATATTTTATGTGTCCCGTAGACATTGTATAACCTAGAAAATAGGCAGAGAAGAAAGCATACGGGAAAATTAATTGCGTTTGGTGTGAAGAGTTCAGTGGAAGGTGCTAGAAAAAAGGGTACGAGAAATTGAAAATAAGTAGTCCTAAAACATACGCAAATTGCATGAAAAGTGCATATTTCTTTCAACGCTAATCTCATTCACTTATTGCTTGTTTCTGTACTTCTGAAACGGTTTATTTGGTTTTGTTATGCTGGGCCAGCAATCCCCTAAAGACTATCAGTTAAAGAATCTAATAAGAAGCCAACTTAAGCATGACAAATCTTAGAGCAATATTGAACAATGGTAGCTAAACAATGGTGGCAAAAGAAGGTTCCTCCACTAGGAATTAGAGATTGATGACAAGAAGTTCTTGAAGGAAATTGCCAAAGTTGATGGTGCTGCATGCGGATATTAGTTTTCAACAAACTGAAAAGACATCAACGAACTTCCTTTCCCACTCTGAGTAGAATAATAGCGAAGCCTTTGGTTTAGTTTTAGAAGTGATTAAATGTAGAGGTCTGCCGTGTCAATATTGCTTTGAAACACAATCTTCGCGATTGCTTGGAATAAAGTATCATACATGTAAAGACCCTCAGAAACCTTATTTGGCTTACTACCTAGGTAAGTTTACTATCCAGTTTCTAAGTAAGGAAAGAAAACTTCTTTCAAGAGACCCCTTCAACTCTGAACTACAATACATATAGGTTTTTTTTTATCGAATTATCTTCTATTTAGAGCTTTCAAATCAAGTTCGGTCAAACATCTAACCTAAAGCTGCTGGAGCTAGGAAAATTCCCCTCGGTTCACGTCACGGAGTGTCATTCTCTCATGTTCTCAAAAACGGATGTCTCTTTATGTAGAACTTGGATTAAAAATTTCTACCGAAAATTATTGGCAAAAGATAATTTGCTTGTCTTTTATTGTAGAAATGTTCAACTGATATCCTCTCACTCCAAGACGTCCGCACTTCAAGTTTTCTGCTGCCAGTTAAAAATCAATAGCACTTCTGACACAATTCGTCTTTCGCTAAATAATAAGCGACGATAAATCAGTATTCTACGGAATAAAACGAATGATTACGAAGCTTTCTATTCATAACCGCTGCGCTCATTTGCATTTACCATTTCGACATTTCACCATTACACACCGCTTATCGAAACCATCATTTATTAACTCTTTCATTGTTTGCTTTTTCCTTTTGTTGCTGTTGTTGTACATTGTGAAATCAATTTCCAAAGCGTTTTGAACTTTTTCAAGGCTCTTCGAGTTAGGGTTAGCAGCGCTGTCATGGCTATACGCTGGCGACTGTTTGTAGTCATGACAAAGCACATCACACTAACAAATAGGTAACCTATACATGCGTACATTTGTATGTGAACCGCTGCTGAAGGGATATTTGTAGAAGCTTGATTGGACAAATTGAAGTTTATGTCGCTTACCGGTGACGTGTAAGTGAGTGCTGATGAGTGCGTGTGTGTGTGCATGCAGTTCGTGTGTGTTTGTAGTTACTTAACGGTGCTTCTGAATCCTGTATTTAATTTCCTTCGGCACGCAAAGTGTCTGACCCCAACGAAATTTATATTCTGCCAGCACAGTCTTGCTATACATTGGGCATTGTTTTAATTCACTTATTATTGTTCTTTTTGTACGCCTTTGAACTCGTGCATTAGAAGCGGAAATTGTTTTGCAGCAAAAAAGATAAATTACACATTGCTTGTTGACGCGCACTCCACCCTGAGCGCCGCAAGCAAACGACACTCAGGCAACTGGATGTCGGCCAAAAATGCAGCGTTAGGCGGTGGCTTCATGACTCATGCATTTTGGCAAGCTTTCGGGCGCAAGCTGAGCGGTCGCGTTCGTCGGATGCATTTTTACAAGCAATACATCGTTGGTGGGCAAATGCCAAGCAAGTAATACACTGTGTGCCAAATTGATTTTAGATAGAGAGCTAAATGCGTGAGTGCCGAAATTAATGAAGAAAAGCGTACTCTAAGTATTTATGTAAGTTGGCGAGCTCAGCAGCCTAAATATATGCTATATATTTGCAAAATGTGATTATTGAAGTATCGTTGTGAATTTTTCGCTCCAACATGCTTATTTTTTCGCAAAAATCAGGCGAGCAATTCTTAATTATATCTACAGCTGAAATGTATGCTACATAACTTGCGAAATGCAATTCTCGAAAGAACAACGGGCTGTGATTAATGTGTCCGCTCTTTTCAATGCGCGATTTGCTCACCTTACCTAAGCTAGTCAACCTTTTTTCTGCAGCATATACTTCTTTTTCTATACATACATATACTACATTCATTTAATTCCCATAACCCTTTATATATTCATTTCAATTTATTCTGCTTTATGCTGTTATCTTACAATCGCTTTTAACTCACTTATTTATGCCACTTGGAGACGGAGAGGGCATTCAAAAATATTGTATAGATAAATATCTCTTCGACTTCGATGCTCTTTCAATTTCCTTTTCACATTTTGTTTCGCTTTTCTTCATGGCTTCAAGGTTTATTTGCGATTATACAAGTATCCGTGAGTCCAATAGTTTTTTTGTGGTTGATAATTCTGCTGATAACTGCTACAAAAGGGTTGATGTTGTGACAGTCGAATTGTAGGTGAAAGAAAGTAATACTGAAAAATACTACAGTTGGCGAAATGAGCCATAAAGATTACTCATTTATACTTATTGATGAGGTTTGTAGGTAAGATGAATAATATGGCGTTAGTGCCAATACGAGCAAAGTTAGCTAAACTGAGATTAGAAAAACAGACACAAAGCATTAACGAAAATCGGACAGCTATGGCTGCTTAAAGATTGCAGCGCCTGTGGATAGGCTATACTTATGACATTTTTGTTTGTTGATTTTGAAACTGAGCTTAATTTCTAGGCGGTGAAATGTCTTTAATTAAGGCGCTTAGTTTTTGGGGCAAAATTAAATAAAAAAATGGCGACTGACAGCGTCAAGAGTTATATTTCACATACTCATAAATGTTTAATATGAAAAGTAAGCGTGTATTTTGTGGATCAAGTGGGCTCAAAACTCAGCTACAATTCACTTATAAGTACGTGCGCGTGTGTGCTATCTCAGGCAGATTTACTGCTGGCGTTTGATTTGGGTTTGGCATAATGAAAAGCCGCCGTAAACAATGCCTTGCATTCAGCCCAATAAACTAATGCGCAAAAGAAAAGCAATTGTAATGAAAATGCCGACTGACTGACTCGGGCTAACGATATGGGGAGTAAGCGGTATTGGTCCCCTGCATGAAATCAACAATCAACAGGGAAATGAATGACATACAAAAGCGTTGAGAGATTTAATAAACCAAAGCAACAAAAACAGTTAGTAGGAAAGAGGAATAAAAAGTTGGAATATGGAAAGAAAACAAATGTAAAAAAAATGTTAAAAGTCACGAAGCTATATGTACATACTACGTGTAACTGTAAGTCAATAGTAGTCGGGGGCCGTCAGCTAGACGAGGGTCGCTGCGTGTGTGCAGCGGTAGCGGCAGCGTCAGTCTGTTAGGCGGACGGTTATTCAGCTTTTCCGCCAACTTTCCGGCTTGTCGGTTATAATTTCCAGCAAAACGTCGCACACATACACACACACACCTACTCATGCAGCGACCACTCGATATGAGCGAGCCCTGTGCGCTTTTTCTTTATCTCCATCATTCTTTCATTTCCATTCGGTCGCTTTGGGATTTCGCTTATGAAACTCTAGCACTGCTGTTCGAAATTAAAATTGACAATTGCAACAAAAGGCGCGTACATGTGTAGAATCACTAAAGAAAAGCTTCGGAAATATAGAAATAGAAGCTGCTAGTAGAAAGAGAGGGGTAGCGAGCGGCAGTGGGAAAATATAATAGGAGATAATAGGTAAATGCCTTGTGTTTAGAATAGCAATGAGCATATGTATTACTGTATGTGCGTATGTGTGTGAGTGTGGCATAAATGA